CTTCATTCACCAGCCAACTATATATATATATATATATATATATATATATATATATATATCCTGTTGTTGGTCGATTGCTTCGAGCAGGCACCAGTAACATCTCCTTCTTCCTAGCCCTGAGATTTAAAAAGAGCCACATAAGCCACATAATGCTCTTTTAGGGCTAGGGGAATGAGACCTATCATTGTTACTGGTATTTGGCATATTGAGTACGGCACGGGAAGTTTGCCAGACTCTGCTGTGCGGCACTCTCCATATATATATATATATATATATATATATATATATATTACATATATTATATATATGGGGGGGCATTTGACTTGCATACCACCAACCTCCTCCTTCTCAGAGATCCTGGCAAACTACAAGCTAACGAGAATTTCCCACCCACATGAAGAGCCTGGCAAGCTCCCCATGGCATATTCGATATGCCAAAAACAGTAACAACAAGTCTCACAATGGAGGCATTACTTTTAGGGGTACTGGTAAGATAGCACCGTGTGAAAGGCACTGCCTTGCATGCAGGTGGCCAGGTTACTATCACTAGCACCTTAAGCCTTAGCATGTCCAGTTTGGCCCCAAATCAAACAAACGAAAGCATCATCTTAAAAATGAAAATGAAGAATCACAATGTGTTTATGAAGGGTAGAGTTCAACAGCCTTTAAATATTTTTTTAATTTTATGGCTTGAAATTCTATGGCTTATAATCCTATTACTAGTTACTTCTCATGCACATAATTCCACCACACCCATCACTCGAGTACCCACCTCAGTCTCCCAAGGACCCCAGCACACCTCCCTTTCAGTCCTTCCCAGTTCAGCTGCACAAGTCAGTTCAGCTGCTCGCCCAGACCATCTCCTTGGTAGCTCTGTTCTCAGGCCTTCTCTGTGTGGCAGGAGGGTCACTAGTGACACACACAAGCAGGTCTGTGGCATCCTCATTCTACGCTGAGATTCCTCCTTCTGTGATGATCTCTCTCCGTGTAAGAATACCTAACTTTTAGTGAAAGACTGGAATAATTAATGGCCCTGCCATCAAATCCATATTTTGGAGAAAAGGAAGACACACTGGTGTTAGGGCTTTTCCTGCCTGTGTCAGGGATCACTGAGAAGGACCCTGTGACATGCTGGGGATCAAAGAGCGGTCAGTCACATGCGAGGCAAGCACCTTCCATGCACTACCGGCTCTCTCCCCGCCCCAAAGCTTATTTTAAAACCGCATCAGGGTTACATTTAATACCTGTATTTGGGGGCTGGAGCAATAGCACAGCGGGTAGGGCGTTTGCCTTGCACGCAGCCAACCTGGGTTCAGTCCCCAGCATCCCATATGATCCTCTGAGCACCACCAGGAGTAATTCCTGAGTGCATGAGCCAGGAGTAACCCCTGTGCATTGCCAGGTGACCCCCCCCACAAAAAAACAAAAAACCCCAAAAAAACTGTATTTGGCTTTATTCAGCAGACAGATCACAAAGGTGGTGCCATTTGATAGGGTGGGGCCTTCTCAGCTGTTCTAAAAAGATATTTGCTTCTCCTTGAGATTTTGGAGCTTCTCTCTTATCCTTCCAGAATCTGTCCAGCAACTCCTAGGGATCTCAGGGTTGCCCCCAGTTTAGTCTTGGTAGACCATCAGTTTAGCCCTGGGAGACCATGAGTGATGGAGAATGAACCAGGTTCCTCTGTATTCAAGGCCCCTTAATCCTGTCCTAGTCTTCTCACTCCTTCCTTTGTATTATTAACATTAGTCTCTCATTGCCTAATAGATTTTCTACACCCCATGAGGATTCTTGTTCTACAACCCGGGGTCACCTCTTCTGGAACTATAATCTAATCTCAGTATGGCACCAACTAATTGATTTGCACGAAATCAGCCCAGCTTTGCAAGCACAATAATTATAGCAAGGCAGTAGATCATTCTGTGTAAGGATGTGTTGTCCTATGATTCAATGCGTGTATGTCAGAGCAAAGTCAACAGCATGCACTCTCCTTCCAGTTCAATCTCCTCTGCTACTCTTGCCCATTTCTGACTAACGCAACGCTTTGTAGGTCACAGGGCGTTCAAAATCAGGCCATCATCATCATCTTGCTTTCTTCATGAACAAGTCCTCTGCGCTGAGGAGGTCTGGGATATTACCTCTGAGAGTGGTGTTGAGAGTTTAACAATATGACACAGAATTGGTCCAAGAATTTGAAAATACCTCAAAGGAGGTATTTTTCTGTAGAAAACACGATTCTATTCTTGTAAAGTTATTTTCATTTTCCCACTTTGGTGAAGGGGACCTCAGGAGTTAGAATAATACCATAAGGAAAGATACATCACCCTGAGACAGACAGGGGCTTCTGCACTGGTATTAATAGAAGGCGAAAAAATAATAATAATATAAAATACTAAAGGAGATCAGGCAGCCACTTCAGAGTGAAAGAAGTGGAGGAGAGTTGGGAAGGAAGTTGTGACCATCAGAAGTGTCATTGAACTTGACCCAGATTGAGACCAACTATGACTTAAAATTCTGGCAGTTGAGGGAAAAGTGCCAAGTTTAGGGACTTATCAGAGTCACATATTTTTGCAGGAATATATACAGATCCAGTTATTTGAACAAAGTAAGTCCCAGGATATCCACCCGTAACTAGGGGTCATTATGGAAAGTGTTCATACCTTGAAGACTTTAATCAGTTTATTTTATTGAAGATTGACTTTTAGGGGTATGTGGCAAGTAGTTTTTTTTTTTTGCTTTTTGGGCTACACCCGGCGATGCACAGGGGTTACTCCTGGCTCTGCACTCAGGAATTACTCCTGGTGGTGCTCAGGGGACCATATGGGATGTTGGGAACCGAATCCAGGTTGACTGCATGCAAGGAAAATGCCCTACCTGCTGTGCTATCTCTCCAGCCCCCTTGGCAAGTAGTTTTTGAATAAACAAGGCATGAACATAAATTATTCTTATGTCAAGATTATTCTAAACTCTTAATAATAAGAGGTAATGGCCAGGTTCAGTATGGGAGGAAGAAAAATCTCCCCCGTGTCTCCAAGATACAAGGAAACAAATTTGTTTTATCGTTCCCCACATGAAATATGCAGAAGATGTGGAAAATGCTTTTCACACATTCGGACTCAAAACTCCTGGGCAAAATACCATCTTCCTTGTGTTTTGGGCAGTCAAGTATACAAGGAGACTTGGCAAATAATACCAGAAAATGAAAGGAAAGCTATTCTGTTTGTGTGGCAGAGAGATAACCAAATATGCATAAAAGAAGAACATGGCCAATGCCTCATCACACAAGAACGTTCTTTGTCAACCTCAAATTGACTTTACTTATTTTTTTTCTCATTCTGAGAAGAGAGGAAAGTAAAAATGCTGTGATTAAGGACTCAGCAGTGGGTGGTGGATAAATAACATCCAGAAGGATCTACTAATGATGGTGTCTTAAAATAAATAATGGCAATTTTTTGTTGGCCAGAAGCCATGCCCTATAATTTATTACATTCTAGCCAAACACTGTGCGGCATGATTCATTAAGAGTGGTAAGAATGAGAGGCCACGCCCGGAAGTATTCATGCTGAACAGTTAAGCCAACGCTAATTATCAGACAGAAAAATCACAGTGCATGTCCCCTTCACCTCTGCTTGAAGCCAGGAACCAAGTTCAAGCCTTATGTCACTCCTTGTAATTGGAGGAAGCAGAAGGTGACACACTCAACATTCACTCTAGAAAACATATTTTTCAAAATAAGTCTTATGATAAGCACCACTTCTGATCGGTCACTCTGAGATGTGATGCTTTTTTGTAACTTGGTTTTTAAATTTTATTCAACACATTAATTCAACCTGTAAAAATAATCTTGACTAATAAATTTTATTATATTAAGTTTTTATAAAGATGCTATGTGAACAAGAGGTTAAATATGAAGGGTATATATGATTATTTGTCCCAGGTTTCCTAATGAGGTAGATCCAAATGTCACTGTTTAATATTGAAACCTCGAAGCAGCTTTAAATTCTAAAATAAAATCATGGTGTCCCTCACGCCCTCCCAGAAGTGCTCTACTTAGTGTAGGATCAGGGATAAGACCTGATCACAACCTGTTGAGACCCTAAAACCAAAATAAATAAATACAGAGTATAATGAAATCACTCTCTCAGCTAGTGTAATATTTAATCAAATGACTCTACTAATTTTCTCACTGTGCCCAAATTAACAGATAATCAATATAGACATGTCTAAGAACATTACATGAATGAAATAATATTGTTAGCACCTTTGTTACATTTATAAAAAATGCCATTTAATGGAATTTATTTAAGAACTGAGTGGTGAAAGTAGGAAAAGGGATCTGCATGATAGCTTTTCAGTATCTGCATTGCAAACCGTAATGCACAAAAGGAGAGAGAGAGAGAGAGAGAGAGAGAGAGAGAGAGAGAGATGGAGAGAGAAGAAAAGAAGGAAGGGGCTTGGGTGGGGGGGAGAGGGAAACTGGGGACATTCATGGCGAGAAATGTACACCTGTGAAGGGACAGGTGTTGGAACATTATATGACTGAAACCTTTTATATGTGCATCTCATTGTGATTCAATACTATTTTCTAAGTGGAATTCATCTTTCAAACTTCTATTTTTGGTAGAAGGAGTCCCTAAGCCTTGCACAGGGGTGCCTGGGGACAGGCAGAGACGCTCTGCTTGACTCAGCTGCCCGTTCATCCGGATGCTTGGACTCAGCAACATGGCACTGTTCAGGGATGCTGGCTTTGATCCTTGGGATCGCCAAGGCTGCATCTGGTTATGTTCTGGGTTCATATGGTACCAGGGATTATACTGGGGCCTCGGGGTCACAAGGTATATATCCCTGTCTTTTATCTCCTAGGCCCCAAAGGTATGGACTTTTAGAATTACTTCAGCATAAGCAGAGCTAATGTGTACCTTTTCTATTCGATTTGTTTTCTAAGAACTGGTCAAAGTATCCTGACCTGTCTTACCAAGAATCCTCTTATCTCTTTCTGTATAAGTGTTACCGCTCTTTTAAGATTTGTCTAGCAGGTTTTCTGGTTGCCACCAGAAAGCACCCACCCCTACCCTCCAAAATTCTGTATACAGATTGTATGTTCCTGAAAAACAGAGTTTGCTCTTAGATGTGGCATCTCAAATATAAGTGACAATTTTTATTACTGCAAGTGTCCTGTGTCTTCTCCAAAGAACTTATATTGGGATTTATATTGAAATGTTGATATATTAAAAGACAACAAATTTATAATAGAATTAAAATCACTCTTCCCACTCACCTGAGACTGAGGATCAGTCTTCTTGGACAATTGCAGCTTGATTTTTCAGACCAGAATAATTTTTAAAAGTCATTCGCTTAATCAAAAATTTTCACTTTGGGGCCCAGGTGGGTCCAAGTAACATGATATTACATAATGAACAAAAGCAGGAACAGAAAATGCCAAACCACCATTTAATTTTTGCCTATCTGGATGCTTGGGAACAGGTTAAGAACATGGCTTAGCATGGTTCATACAAGTGAAAATGCTCACTCACAGCTTTAGTTTAACAGAAAGTATCTATACGGTCCTTGTCACTTTTAGGGAACTGAAGAAAAAACTCTTAGTTGTTTAAATTACAAGGGAGAATATCTAATTTTCTAATTCAGCATCATATATATAAGATGACAGTGATCTTTAGTTGATAGAGTTTGGCATCTTTTTAAAGAATCCACAGCTAGAATGAGGTAACATTAGGAAGCAAAAAAAAATACATCCACAATTCAGTGCATATTCATATTTGGCAAAATAATGGACTGTAGGGTCATCAATAATGTGAAATGGAGTTTGTCCTAGGTATGCAAAGATAGGTGAACTTATGCATGTCAATCATGAATATATACAGAGCAATAAAAAGGACAAATTTCATGTGATGAAAACCTAGATACTGGCAAAGCATCCAATAAGATTCATTTGACAAAATTCAATGGTAACAAAACTCTCAGATAACAGGAATAGGAAGGACAAACCTCAATATACCAATTCCATATGTTATTACCCCACATACACTACCACAGTCAAGGGCACAGAATGGTCCTGATTTCTTTAAAATCAGGAATGAAGGTTGAGGAGGCAGTGCAACAGGTAAGGGGCTTGACTTGTATCAAGTTGACAGGGTTTGATCCCTGACATTCCACATGGTCCCCCGAGCCATGCCACAAATGATCCGTGAGTGCAGAACCAGGAGTAAGTGCTGGTACACAGGTACACAGGCCCCCAAACCAAAAATGAAATAAATACAACCAGAAATGAGACAAAGATAACCACTATCAGAACCCCTGTTTTATATTGTTTTAGAGGTTTCAGGCAAAAAGAAGGCTTAGAAATAGCACAAAAAAAAGGAAAACAAGGGGTAAGTGCCATTATTTATAGGCAATATTAAAACCCCAAGGATTCCATCAAAAAGTGAAACAATTTATTGGTATAGGTAATAATCTGCTGAGAAAATACATATACAAAATTCTGTTGTATTCCTACAATCAAAATGTGAATAATAAGAAGAAATTAAGAATGCTACACCAGGGACTGGAGAGATAGTACAGCAGGTAGGGTGCTTGCCTTGCACATGGCTGACCTGGGTTCCATCCCCACTACCCCATGAGGCCCCAAAGCACTTCCAGGAGTGATCCCTTACTGCAGATCCAGGAATAAACTCTGAACATGGTAGTGATCTAGTAGTCCTCGTAACACAGAAACATTTAAACAAAAGTTACGTACACCCCAACATTTATTGCGATACTGCTCACAATAGGTAAAATATGTTATCAACTGAAGTATTTATCCACAGAATATGAACTAAAAGGTTGTGGTACTGTATACAGTGGAGTGCTATTCAGCAATGAAAAAGCTGAAAATTTCCATCTACAGGGAAATGTAAGGATTTTTAGGAAATTATGTAAAATGATAAATAAGAAGGAAAAAGAGGAACATTGTTTTATTTTAACCAGGTGTGAAACATAAGGATATAAAAATGATGGTCTGAGACAGAGAGGTAGGATAGGTGTGATACAGTAATGATACTAAGGTAGTAAGTGGCAGATTCTGTTTCTATCCTCAGCACTGCGTGTTGTTCCCCAAGAATCTTCATGAGTCAGCCCCAAGCAAATGGATGTGGCTAAAAAGCAAAAAAAAGATGAAATATAAAATTATATAAAATTAATCAAATGAAGCAATATTAAATGACAAGCCAGAGGATATTGATAAGAGATCAAGATTCCTGAAGAGAAAGACGTGGGAGAACAAATAATATTGGGAAAGAGCATAATATAAAATAAAATGAATTATTATTTAGATCCAGTTTAGAGACAAAGACAAATTCCTAGATAGACATCTTAAGAAATTTGTTGAGAATTATAGGCCAAAATTCTTTACAAATTAGACTACTTTAAAATCAAGTTAATCATTCAAATGGTAAATATTGCTGTATGATATTGCATTTTTCATTTTATTTTAGACTGTCATAAATGCTAAACAAGATAAAAATGTTTATATTATTGTTCCATGTGTTAAATATCATAAACATACAAAGGATTTTACGCACAGACTATCAGCAATTAATTATATTCAAAAGAAATAAGTTACAAAAAATTCTACAATAATTTTGAAATAACTATTTTCCAACAGGTCTTTTTTATTGTAGAACCTGTTCTGGAGCATGAAAAAAAAATCACTGAAAAATTAACAGCTACCAAAAATATCTTGATTCTTTTGTTAACTGCCTACTTAAAATATAACAGACTATTTACAAATACTTCAAAGAAAGAAATTATATGTTCTAGATAACATTTCTCCTGTTGTTGAATTTTTTTGCTATCTTCTGGGGAATCACTGAGTCCTATTTAAAGGACTTAATTATAACGTGTGTTCTTGTAATCCTTTAAAAAGGAATGCTTAAGTTTTACTTTAAGATTTCAGAGAAATGCTCAAATAGTAAGATTGGTCCGTAAGCTTAATAGAGTCTAAAGATGGAAGGTCAAGTTTCTCACTCACTTTTGTATCCCATTAACCACACGTGGACAAAATATAAAGGGCAGATGATCAAAGGGGTAAACTGTGCACTTGTTCCACATTTGATGCTCAAGGTCCACATAACTGCTGATAGTAACTGAGAATCACTAAAAAATATTCAGATTTTATAAACACTTCATATGGTTGGCCTTTGTGTTTCTTGCACTGCTGACAGATATGATCTTTGAAAAGAATTATATCGTGAGACAAGATGTTCATTTCACTATAATCTTTTTCAGAGGTCATATCAGAGTTCATTCTTACATGCTAACTTTAAAATGTTGATTTTTACATGCTAACTTTAAAATGTTCATTTTTACATGCTAATTTTAAAATGACTATTTGATGTACAAGTAGGTCATTGGAAATTCAGTTGGATAAAATAGCCTAGACTTTAGTGCGAAAGGTCATAATGTCATGATTTGAAAGATGTTCAGCATATTAATTAGCAATGATCTTTAAAAATAGAGTAACTTACTTATTTTGTTAAAGTTTATGTATAGTTTATTTTTGTTATAGTTTATTTTGTTATAGTTTAAACCTATAAACTAAAAATGCAGGAGGCTTATCCGCATCTTGAATCATTTGCATGTGGTTTTATTCTATAATTTCCACAATACTTAGATTTCAAGTGGGTTTCTCTCCCCCTCTGCCTCTGTCTCTGTCTGTCTGTCTGTCTGTCTGTCTCTCTCTCTCTCTCTCTCTCTCTCTCTCTCACACACACACACACACACACACACACATCTTGTTTTGGTGTGTGGGAAACTATGAAAGACTCCTAAAAATAAAAATCTCTTTCTTCCAACATGACACTACAGAAATTTAACTACTGTAAGTTTGAATTAACTATATTTTTATTTCCCCACAAATCACTTAATCACTTAATCACTTAACTTCCCCTTAGTCGTCGACTTGCTCGAGCGGGCGCCAGTAACGTCTCCATTTGTCCCTGTTGCGTGCTAGTGTAGCCCAATGGCATCTGTTCGCTCCGGGAACATGAAGGGCCTCAAACCGATCGTTCATGATCTTGACGAAGAAGTCTGACCATCTGGTACGTGGGCAGCCACGCGGTCTTTTGACATCCCGTGGAATCCAGTCAGTAACAGCTCTAGTCCAGCGGTCATCTTTAAATCTCATTACGTGACCAGCCCATCTGATTTTTGACACCTTGGCAAATGAGACAGCGTCCCTGATCCTTGATCGTCAACGGATGTCAGAACTCCGGATTCTTTCTCTCATTTGAGTGAAACGTGATATTCCAAGCATAGCTCTTTCTATTCTTCTTTGGGAGACCTGAATAGCGTTCTCATCTTGTTTGCGTAGGGCCCAGGTCTCTGAGGCATATGTTAATGCAGGAAGAACAGTGGAATCAAAGAGATGTGCCCGGAGCCGGAGGTTCTTCGTCCTCTTAGCTATTTCTTCGACATTCTTGAAGGCGTTCCAAGCCGCTCTCTTCCTCGTGCGCAGCTCTGGTGCCAGGTCATTTGTCATGTTGACCTCTCGACCTAGGTACACATAGCTGTTGCATTCGGAGATGGTCGATCCATTGAGAGTGAATGGGGCGTCAGGAATGAGGCTGTTTCTCATAAATATTGTCTTTGTAAGATTCAGCTGTAGTCCTACCTTTCCAAACTCACGGTCAAAGTCGGCCAGCATTTGTGCTGCTTGGCTGATGTTTGGTGTTATTAAAACAATGTCATCAGCAAAGCGGAGGTGGTGTAGTTGCCGACCATCTATCTTCACTCCCATTCCTTCCCATTCCAGTCATCGCATGATGTTCTCGAGGGTGTCACTGAAGAGTTTCGGTGAAATGGTATCACCCTGCCGCACCCCTCGCTTGACATCAACGATCACTTCTTTGTAGAATGGTGAGATCCTGGTAGTGAATCCGCAATAGAGCTCACGGAGGATCTTGATGTATTGGGCTTGAATGCCCTGATTGGCTAGGGCTTCAGTGACCGCTTCCATCTCAACAGAATCAAAGGTCTTCTTTAAATCAATGAACGTTAAACAGAGCGGCAT